AAGGGCGTTGTCCGCCCTTCTCCTGCGCCCGGTGCGCCTTCTGCGGCCAGGGAAGGGAGTCGAGATCTCCCTTTCCCGTTCCGCAGTTTCCTTCTGCGACATCACGTCCTCGCAGAAGGACACCACCGCATCCCACGACTCTGCGCTACCGACCATCTTCCGCACTAAGGCCGGCAACGACAGATCGCCTCCTACTTTATTTGTGAGGACACGGCGCTGCTCCTCCCAAGCTACACACTCGGCGAGCGTGTGTTGCGCCGTGTCCTCCCCGCAATGGACGCAGTGGTGGCACCGAGCGTCCGGCTCCCTGTCTATGCGGCGCAGGTACTTGCCGAAGCAGCCATGCCCCGACAGCACTTGCGTCACCCTAAACGACAGGGAGCCGTGCCTTCTCCCGAGCCAGTCGTCGAGTACTGGCCGGATCGCCTCGACGGTAGCGAGGCCGGCGGTAGGGCGCAGGAGCCTTTGCCGCCATTCCGCCAACCAAGACCTGACGGAGCTTCTCTCGGCGCAGCGCGATCTGCCGCTGCACCGGCCTCGAGCCCCGTGCCCGCTCTTCCTCGCGCCATCGATATAATGACGCGAGTACTTTCGCCTCTAGGTCCCAGGGCGGGGATCCGGCCAGGACGCAAGCCGCCTCGTAGGAAATCGTGCGATACCCGCGGACGACTCTGACGGCCATCGCCCTCTGCGGTTTACGCAGAATGGCGAGAGTGCTGGCCGTCATGTCCATCGCCCACACAGGGGCCCCATACAGGGCCATGGACAGCACGATTCCCACGTACAACCGCCTACAGGCGGCGCTCGGGCCCCCCAAGTTGGGAAGCAACGTTGATAGCGCGCCCGCTGCACCCATCAGCTTGGGCGCCAGCCGCCGGAAGTGGGATCCGAATTCCCATCGGCTGTCGAGCACCAATCCCAGATACTTCATGGTTGACTCGACAGCTATCCGGGCCCCCCCGATGTGTGAACCCGGCGGCGGCGCGCGTCGAGGGCCATGGAACACCATGGCCTCCGACTTACTTAGGGCCACCTCCAGGCCCAAACCTAACCTAACCTAACCTAACCTTTTTTTTTTACATGGGGAAATGCCTACGCATACCCGCCTCGCGGGGGCAAGGACGGGTTATGTCGGACTCGCACCGACTAAAACCCCATGGTGTTCCACCCTCGTCGCATATTGGCAGGGCCACGGGAACGCTTTCGCACACATCCGCGGCCCCACCTGCGCTGGCCGCCCCATGGCGGCCTCTCCTCAGGAGAGGACTACTCCTCCTCCAACTCCTTCTCAGGTAAGGCGCACCAGAACCCATGGCGCGCCCTCCTCCTCGGCCTCCAGCTTAACATGCGCAACGGACGCCCCCGTGTCCGTTGCGCGAAGGCCATGGGGCCAGGAAAAACTAGCACTCAGAAGCACCAGCCTTCCTGACCCCAGCGGCGGATCTGGTCTATGGCTCCGCCGCCAACCAAGATTCGGCTGCGGAGGGTAGGGAGAGCGGCGCCTCGCAATACCGACACTCCTCTCCCCCCGCAACCCACCACCACCGCATCAATTGACGTTGCGGCCCCGTCTGAGTCGCGGAGGATAGGGCGAGTGGCGCATCGCCATACCAGCACTCCTCTTCCTCCGCGACTCCACCTCGGCTGCAGCGGTAGAGGGTGCGGACTCCCCTCTCACCGCAGCCCCCCGACACACATCCGAAGTGGGCTCGCCAAGCCCACTCGGAGTGGCCACCTCGGGCCGGCCCTACACCTCGGGCCAGCCAAGGGGTTCCTCTTCGTTCACCGCGGTTGACCAAGCCACGGCTACTAAGCCCGCCCGCCACGACAAGGCGGGAACCCGTTCGGGGGGGGACCTAATCTAACCTAACCTAACCTAACCTTTTTTTTTTTTTTACATGGGGAAATGCCTACGCATACCCGCCTCGCGGGGGCAAGGACGGGTTATGTCGGACTCGCACCGACTAAAACCCCATGGTGTTCCACCCTCGTCGCATATTGGCAGGACCACGGGAACGCTTTCGCACACTTCCGCGGCCCCACCTGCGCTGGCCGCCCCATGGCGGCCCCTCCTCAGGAGAGGACCACTCCTCCCCCATCTACTTCTCAGGTAAGGCGCACCAGAACACATGGCGCGCCCTCCTCCTCGGCCTCCAATTTCAAATGCGCAACGGACGCCCCCGTGTCCGATGCGCGAAGGCCATGGGGCCAGGAAAAACTAGCACTCGGAAGCACCGGCCTTCCTGGCCCCAGCGGCGGATCTGGTCTATGGCTCCGCCGCCAACCGAGATTCGACTGCGGAGGGTAGGGAGAGCGGCGACTCGCAATACCGACACTCCTCTCCCCCCGCAGCCCCACCACCACCACATCATTAACGGTGCGGCCCCGTCAGAGTCGCGGAGGATAGGGCGAGTGGCGCATCGCCATACCAACACTCCTCTTCCTCCGCGACTCCACCTCGGCTGCAGCGGTAGAGGGTGCGGACTCCCCTCTCACCGCAGCCCCCCGACACACATCCGAAGTGGGCTCGCCAAGCCTGGACCTTTCATACGAGCCCAATCTCGCTGGGTTTAGCGTTAGCGGTTTTCGAGATAGAGAAAAACGGTGTTCATGGACGCCATATTGGATAACTTTAAACCGTTGTAACATTGAAACCGTTTGTGCAAATATATGCGAGTCTGGGTTCATTGGAGTTGTCGTTCAGAGGGCTATTCAGTCAGCATCAGAAAGTCACTAAAGAAAAATCAAAATTATTTTAGCGCCCCACCATATTTATGAGATAGACCAGAGGTGTACGAGTCCGGCAAGCCCAAACACGACTATTTTAAGTCAATAAACATCTTCAATAAACGATTTCAAAATATTGGTCGGCCATCTTGAAAATATTTGGAGAGCTGTAACTTCTACATCCTTTAAGATAGGATAGCCGTTCTTGGACTCATTCTCTTTGTCTTTCAGAGTCCTGCCTTCTTAAGGGGGAAAAAAGGGGAAAAGATTTATAAAAAAAAAAAATGTCGTCTAAGTCGGGCAAGACGTGTACTGAAGTGGCAAAATCCAAGTCCTCTAGATCTGGTAGAGGCATAAGCCCGGTATCTGCACCAACTTTGCGGAAAAAAGTGCTTTTACAGAATGCAGCCTCTTCGAAAAAACCCACTGAGGATATGGAGGACTATCAGAGGGCTATGTTGGGAGAACCTGGATGTAGTAATCAACCAGACTCGCATACTATAGGTATTACAAAGGAACCAATAGAGCAAGAGAACGTATCCTCAAATGATCCACAGGAACACGACAGTGTCTCGGAACAAAATAGCTCTGTTGCAAAAGACATGGAGGCAGAATTGGAATTGCTAGGAATTTGCAAGCGTGTACAACGCACCGACGATGAATGGTCAGATGTTGACAGCATCATCAGTGATAACAGTAAGAGATCTAGTATGTTACCTCCCGCATATAAGCGGGCTGGCATTTCCATGGATCTTGCAATACAGCGGGCTAACGAATTTTTGCTCTCAGGGAAAGAGGCATTGGAGAAAGCGGGGAACATGAAACGGGATTGCAAGCAGGAGGTACATGATTGCCTTCAAGGGCTTTATGAAACAGTGCTCTCACTCTCAGACTCACGCTCCCGACATCGGCTTGCATTAGAGCAAGAACGCAGTCGAGCAGCAAAAGAGCTGGATAGAGTTGAGAGAGCACATACCAAACAACTCGCAGAAATTCAATCCTCCTGTATGCAAAAGCTCAAAGACATCCAAGAACTTTTAAAAGACACGCAAAAATCTGCAGAAGCTATAAGGAGATGGCTCAATTATGAGATGGATGATCCTATTAAGACAATTTATCAGATACGGCAGGAAATAAACGAAAATTTTATCAGAGCGATAAAAGACTAACTGTCCCTCTGGTGACCGGCAAATATTTCCTGTAGAAGAGGTTACGATGATAATGAACCAGAACAGGGATACGATCGAGTACATAAAATCCTTATGTCTCGAAGTTCAACACCTTAAAAACAGTTTGGAAAACCAGGAAACAGATGTGAAATGTATCACTCAGGCCATTGAGTCACTTAAAAACCCTCGATTAGACTCCATTGTTAGTGATACATGCGACATGAAAAATATTGTGAAGGAATTACAAGCACAAATACAGAACACATCCCGACAGGAGATATCCACAGACAAATTCACAGTCGCCATAGAGCCTATGTCGCAAAAGATAGGAATATTAACGGATGAAATAAAAGAACTCAAGGAACATGGAGCAAGCCAGTGGGCATTTCAAAATAACCCTGGCCTAGGTACCGAGGTTTTTCATTTCTCTGATTATTTGGGGCCACCAAGCATTATCAAATGCCCCTTCTATGTCAAGAGATACCACTACAACGATCATTTTTTCTTTGATGCCCTGTCTTATCACCGTCATTGTATCATATAAAGCGTCTTCTGTACTGCGCTGTGGCTGTGCGACAATTTGCTGTTCTTTGGTCGCATTATTATATTTTTTGTGGTCGTTGTCCTCCTTAAGTGGACTGCAGTTGCATACTTGTAAGTTGTCAAGTTTTTCTCTAATCTCTGCTACTGCTAGCTCGGTAGTTATCGAAGTAAGCCCTTGGGTATGGAAGGCCCTTAAGGACCAAAAGGTGCATGTGGGCTACCAAATAGTCCCAGCTATAGATCAGTCACCTATAGTCCAGTGCTATCGATGCATGGGTTTCGGACATAGAGCAAACGAGTGTGCAGCTGATAAATCAACCTGTGGTTATTGCGCAGGTGAACATGACAGCAGACAATGTCCACGAAATAACGGAGCACTTTCATGTGCTAATTGCATTAAAAATAAAGTCAAGGGGGACCATAGTCACGCAGCATACAGTGCTGAATGCTTAGTATGGCAGAAATGGGACCGAATAGCGAGATTCTTAGTTGCATACTGCTAAAGTAGATCAGACAAATGACATCGAACAAACACAGATGAGCATAAACATTATAAATAATATGCCAGAAGACACGCAAACTGTAAAAATCGTGCAAGATAATCTAGGACGAGGAATGGCGGCATATAAAGAATCTTTACAAATGGCCGTCAACCAAAAAATTACACTTCTCTTACTGCAAGAACCATATATTGGTTCAAAAGGGTATGTTACTTGTAATCGCCGCGTTATACAAAAAGTGAATAACATAATTGATAAACCGGTTAAATCGGCAGTCATCGTTGTTGATCCCACGTACTTAATTATAGAAAATCCAGAATACATAAGTGAAAATATAGTAGGCTTTATAATTAAAGTAGGAAACCATAGTATAGGAATACTTAATGTGTACTTGGAAAAAAATGGGGATCTAGATGAAGATATCAGAAACATTGTGAAAATTGCACAGAATATGGACACCCAGGACATCATCTTGGCAGGGGACTTCAATGCAAAGAGTCCTTGGTGGGGTAGCAGAGAGGAAGACAGGAGGGGATTACACTTATCGGAAATGATAGCAGAAATGGACATGAACATACTAAACCAAGGAAACGACCCTACATTCTATCAGTATCGAGCTGGAAAACTCCATAGCAGTCTGGTGGATGTAACCGCTTGTACATCTTCGTCACTACACAAGGTAGAGAAATGGAGAGTAGATCCAGACTTTGTTATACGTTCTGACCATCGAGCAATTCAATTCCAAATAAACATTATCATAGATAAACAGAAAACTTCTCCCAGAAAATCCACACGTCTATTTAACACCGCTAAGGCAAATTGGTCAATTTTTAGGGATGTTTTAAAAAAAGGGTTAGAAAATGACAAAATTACTGAAATAAAAGTTAATCTAATAAAAACAACAAATGATTTGGAAGACATTTTAGACAAATACATCAAACAAGTCAGCATTGCTAGTAAACGGGCAATACCACCTATCTCTAAAAAGATTAACACAACCTGCACACCCTGGTGGACTAAGGAGTTAGAAGCTGAACGACGAGAATTAATAAGATTAAGAAGAAGAATAAGATTTGCGAACACTAGGCGTAAACCCTTCCTTATCCAAGAATTTACAGCAGCTATAGAAAAATATGTGAGTAACATAATGTTTACAATTACTGAGAGCTGGAAGCAGCTATGTACAAAGCAGGAAAAAGAGACAATATGGCAGAGCATTTACAGAATTATTAGGAAATGCACAACAATAAGCGAAGACGAACTTTTGCGTTTAGGAGAAAAAACTCTAAATCCGAATGTTTCGGCTATGCTACTAGCTGAAGTATTCTACCCTGAAGATGAAGTAAATAAGGACACTGAAGAACAAGGAAAAGTTCGTGATGAATCGAACGCAATTATTAAAGATCTAAGATATGACTCTATTAGTTTTCGGGAATTCACCGAAGAAGAAATAGAAATGGTACTACAAAGAATGAACCCTAAAAAGGCACCAGGAGAAGATTGTATAACATCAGACATCTGCTATGAGGCTTACAAAACTTCACCGTCAACGCTGAAGGCAATTTTCAACAAGTGTCTAGAATTAGGGCACTACCCCGAGATCTGGAAAAAGGCTGTTATAAAAGTCATTCCAAAGCCGGGGAAAGATGATTATTCAGTACCTAAATCATACCGACCTATTGGATTACTACCGGTATTTGGGAAGATCTTAGAAAAATTGTTTGTAGGGAGACTTCTATGGCAGTTAGGAAGTGAAGATAAACTCAACAGTTTGCAATACGGATTCTTGCCACAGCGCAGTACAGAAGACGCTTTATATGATACAATGACGGTGATAAGACAGGGCATCAAAGAATAAATGATCGTTGTAGTGGTATCTCTTGACATAGAAGGGGCATTTGATAATGCTTGGTGGCCCCAAATAATCAGAGAAATGAAAAAGAAAAGGTTTAGTCCAGAGATTCTCAGGTTAGTCACTAGTTACCTGTCATTTAGAAGCATTTTACTAAAGTATGCAGGAGCAGAAGTCACAAAATCAACCACCAAAGGCTGTATACGAGGGTCTACCTGTGGACCTATTCTCTGGAATATTCTTTTAGATCCCCTTCTCGAATCAATTTCAAAACTAAATGTCCGTATACAGGCGTATGCGGATGACATACTTGTTATTGCAAAAGGACATTCAGCTAATGCAGTAGAAGAAAAACTAAATCCAGCTTTAGAGCAAATAATGGCATGGGGGAAAAACACAAATTGAACTTCGCACCACATAAAACTCAAGCAATAGTAATCACAAAAAAGCTATCCTATGAAATTCCTACAATTAAAATGAATAATATCATTATCAAACAATCTTCGAGTCTTGGTGTTACTTTTGACACAAATTTAAATTTCGTAGAACATTTAGATGGAGTTCTCAGAAAGGCACTAAACATCTAAAAAACCATATCGAGAACAGCAAGAGCCAACTGGGGTCTTAACTCAGAGATAGTCAAAACTATATATTTAGCTGTAGTGGAAAAAGAATACATGAGGAAAAGATTAGAACGTATAACAAGAATGTTTGCAATTAAGATCTGCAAAGGCCACAGGACAATCTCATTTACGTCTAGCGTGTTACTATCAGGAATCATCCCTCTTGACTTAAGAGCATTGGAACATCTTTCACTCTATGAAATCAAACGAGGAAAGCCACTAGCACAACTACCAGGAAGAACCGTAGAAAAACCAATAAGCCCATTCTGTTTACCCCATCCCGCTGAAAGAGACCGTGTATCTTTCAAGATGGTAGTTACACAAGAAGAAGAAAACGCAATCGACGGCCTTAAGCCGAGAATATACACGGACGGCAGTAAGTTAGAAGACAAAGTAGGTGGCGCTGTCAGTGTGTGGAGAGAGGGTAAAGAAATACTCAAATCTACATTTAGGTTAGAAAGTTACTGTAGTGTTTATCAGGCTGAACTTACTGCGATTCTTAAAGCACTTGACATGATGTGCAAGATCAGTAAATTAAAGAAAGCAATAATACTAAGTGACTCACGATCAGCTTTAGAGTGCCTAACCGACAGCACGTCTCTCCAGCCTCTTGCAGTTGAAATACGAGAACGTTTAAGAGAGTTGAAAAATAAAGACGGTGATGTTGAGTTCTACTGGGTCAAAACGCATATTGGTATACCCGGCAACGAAAGAGCTGATGAACTTGCAAAGAAGGCAGCACTGTTTAACAAACAAGCCGCAGTTTATGATAAGTGCCCTCTGTCCTTCGCGAAGCGACTCACCAGGGACTCTACCTGCATGGGGTGGCAACAACGATACAATGAAGCTACAACAGGAGCAGTCACGAAGATATTCTTTCCGGACATAAGACAAGCACACAGTACACTTAAAAACATTAAACTAGATAACGTTAAGACGCAATTGTTAACGGGTCATGGAGGTTTTAAGGCGTATTTATTCAAGTACAAATTAACGCAGTCCCCATCTTGTGCATGCAGTAGTGAAATAGACGAAACAATTTTACACCTGTTAATAGATTGCCCGAGATTCGCTATGAAAATATTGGAATGCGAGCAGAAGATGGGAATTGCAATTAATGATACTACCCTAAAATACGCTATTAACAACGATGACTGTCGGACCCATTTCCTAAAATATGCAGAAATAGTCGTTCGTACTGCAGGAAAAGCAAATGGGTCCAAAATAGTATAGTTTTATAAGTTAAAAGTATATAAAACTAAAGCAATGGACAATTGCATTAAAATTGTAAAAGGTAACTATGATATAACAACAAGTTTATTTATATAACATTAGGTATAACTGTAAGCAACTGTAAAAAAAAAAAAGGTTAGGTTAGGTTAGGTTCTCGGGAGAAGGCACGGCTCCCTGTCGTTTAGGGTGACGCAAGTGCTGTCGTCGGGGCATGGCTGCTTCGGCAAGTACCTGCGCCGCATAGACAGGGAGCCGGACGCTCGGTGCCACCACTGCGTCCATTGCGGGGAGGACACGGCGCAACACACGCTCGCCGAGTGTATAGCTTGGGAGGAGCAGCGCCGTGTCCTCACAAATAAAGTAGGAGGCGATCTGTCACTGCCGGCCTTAGTGCGGAAGATGGTCGGTAGCGCAGAGTCGTGGGATGCGGTGGTGTCCTTCTGCGAGGACGTGATGTCGCAGAAGGAAACTGCGGAACGGGAAAGGGAGATCTCGACTCTTTTCCTTGGCCGCAGAAGGCGCACCGGGCGCAGGAGAAGGGCGGACAACGCCCTTTTCCGGCCCCCATAAATGGATCTACTAGCTAAAGAAGCCGCAACAAAAAGTAAATGTAAGCCTCACTACGAAAAGTGTCCGGTATCATTCGTCAAGCGACAGATTCGTCTGGAATCGCTTGACGAATGGAACCGTAGATATATAGAAGGAGGAACAGCTTCCACCACCAAGGTATTTTTCCCGGATGCCTTCAGTGCATATCCCATTGTTAGAAAGATAGAAATGGACCATATTGCTGTACAGGTGATGACAGGACATGGCGGGTTCTCTGAATATTTATACAGGTTCAAATGCAAAGAGAGCCCGTCATGTATCTGCGATCAAGAAAAGGAGGAATCCATTATTCACCTCATAACGGAGTGCCCTATCTATTGTAAAGAGAGAACAGATTTAGAAATAGTGATAGAAATTAAGGTAAATAAAGAAAATGTACATAAAATTATAAGTAATATGTTAGAAATAGGTTTTTATGTTACTGGAAGAATATAGCAAACAAAGTTGTAAATAAGAATAAATAAGAGTAGAAATAAGGGAATCTGTACATAATATATATAAAAATATATAATGTAAACAGCCCATAATACGTAGAAATAAGAAATAGTAAAGTAAAGTAAGTAAGTAATAAATGTACCTAGAGTTAAGAAGATAAGAAAAAAGGAAAAAACCTAAAAAAGAAATAAAGAAAATAGTAAAAAATGAATGAAAAAGAATAAAAATAATACAAAAAATAATGAGAACATAACAAAAATAAAAGAAAAATATAACAAAAGAAGGAAAAGGTCCTAGATTTTCCACATGTCAGGGGAATCAGAAAAAAAAAACCTAACCTAACCTAACCTTTTTTTTTTACATGGGGAAATGCCTACGCATACCCGCCTCGCGATGGTAAGGACGGATTATGTCGGACTCGCACCGACTAAAACCCCATGGTGTTCCACCTTGAATTGTATTGTATACCGATAGCAATTCCTCATGGGTAAAGAATAATTTAAAAAAAAAAACCTAACCTAACCTAACCTTTTTTTTTTTACGGGGCGAAATCCTCATGGACTACCTCCGCCTGGGGAAAGGCGGAGGGGCGTGCCGGACTCTTACCGGCTAAAACCACCCCGGTGTCTCCTCACACGTGTGCATGAGGCCGCGGGAATCCAAATTCTTCCGCAGCCCCACACTAGTGCTGGCCCGGTCTGTCCAGGCCTCGTCTCCTGCACGGGGTAGTGAGGTGTTCAACTACCCCGTGTATCGCCTCAGGGGCGCGCGCCGACACCCGCGCGCGCTTCCGCCTCGGGTCCATCGAGTAGGTGTGGCGGGGGGCTTCCCCAAGTCCCTCGCCCCTGGACCCATTTATGGGGGCCGGAAAAGGGCGTTGTCCGCCCTTCTCCTGCGCCCGGTGCGCCTTCTGCGGCCAGGGAAGGGAGTCGAGATCTCCCTTTCCCGTTCCGCAGTTTCCTTCTGCGACATCACGTCCTCGCAGAAGGACACCACCGCATCCCACGACTCTGCGCTACCGACCATCTTCCGCACTAAGGCCGGCAGCGACAGATCGCCTCCTACTTTATTTGTGAGGACACGGCGCTGCTCCTCCAAAGCTACACACTCGGCGAGCGTGTATTGCGCCGTGTCCTCCCCGCAATGGACGCAGTGGTGGAACCGAGCGTCCGGCTCCCTGTCTATGCGGCGCAGGTACTTGCCGAAGCAGCCATGCCCCGACAGCACTTGCATCACCCTAAACGACAGGGAGCCGTGCCTTCTCCTGAGCCAGTCGTCGAGTACTGGCCGGATCGCCTCGACGGTAGCGAGGCCGGCAGTAGGGCGCAGAAGCCTTTGCCGCCATTCCGCCACCAAGACCTGACGGAGCTCCTCTCGGCGCAGCGCGATCTGCCGCTGCACCGGCCTCGAGCGCCGTGCCCGCTCTTCCTCGCGCCATCGATATAATGACGCGAGTACTTTCGCCTCTAGGTCCCAGGGCGGGGATCCGGCCAGGACGCAAGCCGCCTCGTAGGAAATCGTGCGATACCCGCGGACGATTCTGACGGTCATCGCCCTCTGCGCTTTACGCAGAATGGCGAGAGTGCTGGCCGTCATGTCCATCGCCCACACAGGGGCCCCATACAGGGCCATGGACCGCACGATTCCCACGTACAACCGCCTACAGGCGGCGCTCGGGCCCCCCAAGTTGGGAAGCAACGTTGATAGCGCGCCCGCTGCACCCACCAGCTTGGGCGCCAGCCGCCGGAAGTGGGGTCCGAATTCCCATCGGCTGTCGAGCACCAATCCCAGATACTTCATGGTGGACTCGACAGCTATCCGGGCCCCGCTGACCACGATGTGTGAACCTGGCGGCGGCGCGCGTTGAGGGCCATGGAACACCATGGCCTCCGACTTACTTAGGGCCACCTCCAGGCCCAGGCGCCGGATGCGGTTCACCACTTGTGACACCGCAGCAGTGGCAACCAACGCTGCTTCCCTGTGCGAACTCCCCCGGGCAGTGACGAGCGTGTCGTCTGCATAACACGTCAAGTCGGCGCCCGACGGGAGTTCACCTCTCAGCACCCAGTCGCAGCCGATGTTCCACAGGAGCGGTCCCAAGACCGATCCCTGCGGAACACCGCACGACATGATCCGCCGACCAGCGCCGTCACGTCCCCGATAGGTAACGCATCTCTCCTCAAGGTAAGCCCCTATTGTGCGGCGGAGGTAGGGAGGCACGCGATGGTAATTCAGCGCCTCCCGAATGCAACTCCAGGGTAGGGTGTTGAAAGCGTTGGATATGTCTAAGGACACCGCTAGCACCACCCTACCCCGGGATACTGTCTCCTCCGCCAGGGCCCTCACGCGCGTAATAGCGTCTTTGGTGGAGCGCCCGCGACGAAAACCAAACTGGTTGTCATCCAGGTCCGGCCCCTCTCTGCACAAGTGGCTGACGAGGCGATCTGCGATGATACGCTCAAAAAGTTTGCCCGCCTCGTCGAGCAGCACTATGAGCCGGTACGCGGACGGTGATTCCGCGGGGCGCCCCTCCTTCCTGAGCAGGACCAGCCTCCCCTCCTTCCACACACTGGGAAACTGACCCTGCTCGAGACATGCCGTGAAGAGCCCTCTCAGCTGGGGCTCTAGCTCCTTCAGAGCCAGGACGAGAGCTCGACCAGGAACTCCGTCGGGTCAGGGCGCTGTGTTCTTAACCCGGAGTCGCGACACGGCCACTCTCGTCTCTGCTTGCGTCACCTCGGGGACATCGGTGCTCTCCTCTTCTGGAGAGTCTGCGGCTGAGGGCGAAGCCATCGCCGGGGGAACGTGTCCCACTCGCTCAGGGAAGAGAGTCGATAACACCGACTCTAGCAACTGGGGTTGCATCCTTTGTGTTAGTGGAGGCGCCCAGGGACGCAACTTGCCCCGTACCCAACGGTAGGGGCGCCCCCACGGATCTTGATCTAGGGACCCCAGCAGCTCCTCCCTGGCACGCGACTTTGAGTCGCCGATGGCCAGCCACAGAGTCTCCTTAGACGCGCGGTACACCTCATACAGCGCGTCCTCCTCGGCGGAATCCCGTCGACGCCGCCTCCGGTATCGGGTGTATCGGCGACGAGCCGCAACGCACGCTATGCGCAATTGCGCGATTTCGGCGGTCCACCAGTACACCTGGCGCTTTGCGGACCGTTGGCGGACACGGGGCATGGACGCGTCGCAGATCTGCGTCATCGCCCCGCGAAACCATAGCGCCACCGCTTCGACGTTGACGGGGCCGTCCGTCGTCGACTCCCAGATCCAGGACTGAACTAGGGCAGCTTCCTCGAGTAGTTCCCTGTCGATGCGCTTAAGCGCCCAACGCGGGCCGTCGTTAATCGGGGTTGTTGGATGGCGGCCGCTCGCAGTCTGGGCAGAGACGTCGAACCGGATATATCGATGGTCCGACAGCGTCTCCACCTCTGCGGCGACACGCCAGTCGCGGACTCGGCTGGCGACAGAGGGGCTAGCAAACGAGACGTCCACTATCGGCCACACCGCTGCCGCACGCACGTGTATTCCGAACCCCGATTCAGGACGACCAGACCAGTCGTCACCGTCCACTCTTCTAGCACCTCGCCCTGAGGGTCAGTGACCGGAGATCCCCACGTTGATGACTTGGCGCTGAGATCCCCGAGCACCAGAACGGGACGAGGGTGATAGCGGCCTACGACGGCGCCCAACTCGACAAGGAAACCCTCAAAGTCGGCGAGACTCTTGTTGGGGGAGAAATACGCCCCTACAATAACAATGCCGCCCGAGACCGCAGCAACCCAGCCGCGGCCCCGAGAAGGGTCGATCAGAGTCTCGCCAATAATGGCCACCAAACCGTCAGCGCATCCCAACCAGTTGTCACGGGCGGGAATGAAGTACGGTTCGGCGACCACAGCCACGTGAATCGACCACTCTGCCATGCTCTGGAGTAGGAGATCCTGAGCTCT